GCATTGGTTCTGGTCTGATGTCTGCCATGCATTAGTGCTGGTCTAAGGTCTGCCGTGCATTGGTGCTGGTCTGAGGTATGCTGTGCTGGTCTGAGGTATGCGGTGCATTGGTGCTGGTCTGAGGTATGCTGTGCATTGGTGCTGGTCTGAGGTATGCTGTGCATTGGTGCTGGTCTGAGGTATGCTGTGCATTGGTGCTGGTCTGAGGTATGCTGTGCATTGGTGCTGGTCTGAGGTATGCTGTGCATTGGTGCTGGTCTGAGGTATGCTGTGCATTGGTGCTGGTCTGAGGTATGCTGTGCATTGGTGCTGGTCTGAGGTATGCTGTGCATTGGTGCTGGTCTGAGGTATGCTGTGCATTGGTGATGATCTGAGGTATGCTGTGCACTGGTTCTGGTCTGAGGTATGCTGTTCATTGGTTCTGGTCTGAGGTCTGCCATGCATTGGTTTTGGTATGAGGTTTGTTGTGCATTGGTTCTGGTCTGGGGTCTGACCTGTTTTGGTTCTGGTCTGAGGCTTGCCATGCATTGGTGCTGGTCTGAAGTCTGCCATGCATTAGTTCTGTTCTGAGGCCTTCTGTGCATTGGTTCTATTCTAAGATCTGCCGTGCAATGGTTCTCGTCATGGGTGGACTGACCATTTGGCCGAACGGGCGAATCTCGTTCAAAATAGCCGAACCAAAAAAAAATATTCTACCATTTAGCTCCCTTTCCAAATTTCCTATATTGGTCAAGATTTTGAAATTCTCCTACCAGTTTCTCTGCAATTTACCTTTTAGTGAATAAAGCTGCTATTTTGAAAATATTCTGGAGAAATAATTTCTGTAATACAAAAATGTACTGTATATGCAGGTGAGATGTGTGGGTGGGGCTTATGGGTGGGAGGGGCGTGTATATGGGTGGAGCACAAGGGGCCCCATCATTTCATATTGCCCGGGGGCCCCGTGTGTTGTCAATCCGCCTCTGGCATGCATATTGGAAAGTGCAAAGTGCATGCATATTGGAGTGATAACAGAACGCATGGTCTTCATAATTGTTGCAGATCAGTGACTTAAAAAGATGGGGTTGTAATGTCAGTTTTTATATTTCCTCAGTACTGGTTACTCCTAACAACTACTGAGATGAGATATCCACCACATAGGGAGTGCATTGTTTTCAGTGGGTTGTCTGTCTTATAGACTTACATTGTGAGAAGAACAATTACTGCATAGCACTGCAAAGCTATACACCCCCACCTATATGCGGAGCTCTGGCCAGTCTGACCCCATACTATGGCTGTAAAATGATCACATGCAGCCTGCAGATTTCCTCCCACCAGTGCTACAGAGTAAAAGAGGGCAATGGGCACAGCATGCTCTTTTCTCTGCACTGTGACAGTGACTGTTGGAGACAAAAGACTCACCTCTGGCCGTGGTTTGGCCGTGGAACTAGGCAAAGCCTGTTGCGGCAGTCAATGCTAAGCATTGGGCTGTCTTGGGCTGCCTGGCAGGGGAATCGTGTCCCAGCTCAGGTATACAGTATATACCTGGATTGCTGATCTGTGACTCTTGACATCCATTCCTGTGCTTTTTTGCTGCCCTATGATCTTGCTGGCTTGTCCTTTCTTATGCCCTGGATTGTTACCACTGGACTGCTGAGAGAATACAAAGTCTGCCACAGATTGAAATACTAGTTCCTTGTCTGTCATGTTATACCGATAGTTTCAGTATACTATTCCCTGACATAGAACAAGCATGCAGATCTGGAGTGCTGATTTTACTCTGAATTTCCAAACTGCGGGGTTATGAAGTAACTCCACTTGGTCTGGTAGAGTTCCAGTAAGAGGTTAATTTATAAAAGATCAGAACTAGCATCCCTACTATACTTCCAATACTTGTCAGCACCATCTATTGGCAATAGTGCCATGGAAATGGCATTGGCCGGCAATATGCCAGGAGGAATCAAAGGCTCTCCTTAGGCCCTCCTAAGTTCATCATAGACAGATTTTATGCCATTCTACTGTTGGTTATGTGTTTAGATGAAGCACTGAGTTCTTGAGGAATGCTTAATTACGTTTTACTTGCTTAGCAGGACATTACATGGAGATAGAACTTCCTGTGTATCACAGACAGGCATACATAAGCGTAGAGACCAACACTGTACCAAAGCGCCATCTAGTGCTCAAAAGACATAGCAGTACATTAGCATAAGCTGTTGTATATCCAACATCTACAAATGCCAAATGTCTGCAAGCCAGATACAGAAGCATGCATGCACATTTTATTGTGGCAAGACCAGGTCAACCAACCTATAGGCAAACTTAAGGCCAGCAGCTAAATAAATAGTGGAAATATACTGTATACATGTGAACTGTTTTACCTGATTTTGTGATTCAGACACCCCTACCAGAAAACATAGTTAAGTCTTCACCCTTGCACAGCAACAGCACAATTTCATCAAGAACACATTCAGCCGGCTGATTGGACAATGGAGCAGCAGCTCACTAATGATGTCATCCATCCGCTGTCTCCCCATATCAGCATGTTTACTGTCAACACATGCATGCAGCAGTGTATGATGGCTCCTAGTGCTAGCCATTCCCCCTGCTGTATGAGTGCTGTTGTACAGTGCAGCACCCTCTTACCCCTAGATGGTGGAGGTCACCCAAGCAGCTTAGTGGGCTAGTGTTTTAACTTAATACTTTTTTGAGGTTAAAAAAATAAATTGGGCGCCAGTCACTTTAGAAAGTTTCACGGGTTTATGTGGATAGATACATTTGCACTGTACTTGTGCACTGGGGTGCCATTCTAAATGAATAGTACTGCCTTGTGTTACCCTTGTGGTAAAATGCACATGCATAGGTCTGAAGGAGGCTTAAAGGTAAACTATACTTTACAACAACTTAATCCTAATGACGCCTCTCCCCATGCTAACTATACCCCCTTGCATTCACCTTCGATAAGCGGGTGACGCGATCCGGGAGTTATAATAAATACATCCACAGCCTCTATTGATTCCTTCCAATGCAGGTGCCATTTTCAAAGTTCCAACATTCAAAATTAATTTTTCATTCCTTTTGCTTTCAAGGTAATCTCTAACTCAGACTGGAACGAAGGAGGAAAGTAAAACTCCATTTTACTTCCCGTATTCTTCTTTTACAATAAGTAGAAAGGATAGGATAAGGAGGGTTACTCACATTTGTAAAAACACAGGGTGAGACAATTTGTGAGACAGGTTTATTACAAGGTTACAGCTTAAATCATAAATTCCTCTCTCAACTTCTCTGAAGTAGCACTGTGACAGAATAAAACCTGGCCCTGACCACTTCTCAATTATGCGTCTACTTAAAGTCAAAATCTGTCACATCTTCAGTAATATATCTGTCACAGAGCTTTGCAAACTGTCGCACTTGGTTTCCCAGGAAAACAGATGCAGGGGTAGAAACTTTGCTGAACAGGCAGCCTGATTTGCTACTTATTGTGTTGCTCATTTGCTTGATAATTGTCCCCCATGTCATGTTAATCCAGGGGTTTATTGCATTGCTTGTAGGAGTCTAAAAGGAATAATAATCAGTTAAAAGAGAACTATGGGGTAAGTGTTTTTCCCCACAGTTCTCTTTAGGGACACGGGAGGACATATACTAACCTCCTCCCGTGAACCAAAGCTCAGTATATAGTGGGCTATTGCTCGCTATATGCTTAGAGCGTCGCAGCCAGGGAGGATCCCAACAATACTGTCGTGATCCAACCAGCTGCGTGGGTGACAGCTGGCTCTGCCTATCTAGAGTCAGAGCCAGCTGTGCCCGCCCCATCCCCTGTTCGTTCCACCAGTCAGCACTGGAGGATCAGAGAGGGGGGCGGTGACACTCTTCAGGGAGACGATTGGGAAGTGAGCGGACGGCTGCATGTTTCTGCTCAGTTCCCGATCTATAGAGCCAACCTGTGACTTCTTTGTCACAGGTTGGCTCTAACTATGAGGTGTGTAACGTTACACAATATAAAAAGGACAATTTCCACTTTGGATTCACCCAGAACATGAGCATTCACCCAGAACATGAGCAGCGTGTCTCTTTTAAACATATACAGGGTTATTCACAAAAGGGTGAAGTGTTTGGAGAAGGTAGGAGAAGTGAACAATCTAAGACAACATAGCTGATTGGGAAAAATTCTCCAATTCAGCTCACTTTCCAGTTCAGCTATATTGTCCTAGATTGTTCACTTCTCCTAACTCTTCACCCTTTTGTGAATAACCTTGATAGACTAGCATTAGACCAGCAAACCTTTTAGGAAATATAATAGTAGCCATACCTCCCAACTTCTGGGGATAAAAAAGAGGGACAAAGGGGAGAAATGATCAAAACTGGAGCAGACAGAATCTGGAGCAGTTGCCCATAGTAACCAATCAGCCTCTCTCCTCAGTTTGTTCAGCTAAGCTTAATGAAAGATAGAAACATATTGGTTGTCATCACCGTAAGATTTGCGGAAAGATTGAGGAAAATCTTATTATGGCATGTGAGTTTATAGCAATGGGCCTCTACAACTTACTGGACTGGAGTGTGCAGAGATCTATACATCAGTCCAGAAAGAGGGACAACTGAGGAGGAAAGAGGAACAGAGGGAATTGGTTCCAAAAGAGAGACAGTCCCTCCAAATAATGGACAAATGGGAGGTATGGTGGCCTATAAAAGGGTTTTAAAATATTATTTATTATTATTATTAATATTATTCAGGATTTATATAGCGCCAACAGTTTGTGCAGTGCTTTACAAAATATGGGGAGACAGTAGAATTACAGTACTTATAGTCTACAAGGAGGGACAAGTGATACAGAAGGTAATAACTATGAAATAGCTTTATAGGGAAACTTCACGGAGCATTTTCTTGGTCCTGAATAGGCGATAAGCTTCAGGCAGAGCACACAATAGAAGCTCCAATCTTTCCCATACTTTGGCAGGCAGGGAGGAGCAAGCACATTTAAAGGGATGCTGGGGATGCCATATACAATATAACCCCGGCCTTTTTAGCCTGCACAACTAGCTGAGGCATCCTCTAAGCCAGAGCGCTGAGCAGCAGCGCCGTTTCTGATACCCTGGACAGCGCTCACCCAATCAGCTCCAATCCAAGGCTCTCCAGATCCTGCCAGGCAAGCTTCAAGTCTCTCCAGCATGGTATGTGCATTGAAGGGAAAGGGCACACATACTAGATTCATTCATTCTTTTCTACTTAGCACTAGAAACCAACATGCCTCTGATTTGTGACACAGGGGCTTTGTGATTTGAGAAAGGACACACTGGTACAATGGTAGTGACAGGTGCTCGGAAGGCATTAATAGAAACTATCAAGCATTTATCTTTTTTTGTTGTTGTTGTTGTTGTAGCAACAGAATGCATTTAGCTTGCACTCTCTGATGCTTCATATGTGCATGTGAAAATGCAGCAAACTAACAGTGATTTGAAAAATGCTGGATCGGAGGACTTTGCTACTCTAAATTGAGCCCCCGATAAAATGAGCCAGGGTCTTTCAAACTGTGCCCCTCCTTGACTAGACGCATGGCGATATAGCTTATCCTCTTCACCCAGACTGTGTGTAAGGTGAAGCAGCTGTCAGCCTGGCTTCTCACATGCCTATGTGTGATCTACCCAATACTACTGTAATCCCTGTCAGTCTCCTTCTGTACCATATTGCATGGCAGTTGTATGAATGCTGCCAGCAGCACGCAACCCACATGGGCATTTAGGGTGATTCATTTGTATTTTGAAGATTTGTAGGTTGATCGTATTCGGTGTGAGCGGTGGTGAATTGTTTTAACAGAAAGCTAGCGAGAGGCTGCTGGTTGAGGTCTACTTTGTAATAAGGAAAAGCAGTGTACCACGAACCAATGTACCCATTGTACCAATGTATCTCTAGGTAAGCCAAACTGTGCATAATGAACAATATCTCTAGCTGTCAAAGGAATGCAAAGGTACTGGGCATGCATTAGCCTACTGACACATGTCTCTGGGTTTAGTAAATATATGATGAAGTGTACCAATGTACTCCTGTAGGTAAGCCATGCTATGCACAATGAACAATATCTCTAGCTGTCAAATGAATGCAAAGGCACTGGGCACTCAATAGCCTACTGACATATGCCAATGGGTGAAGTAAGTATATGAAGTGTACCAATGTACTCCTGTACATAAGCCAAGCTATGCATAATGGACAATATCTCTAGCTATCAATTGAATGCAAATGCAACAGGCATGCATTAGCCTACTGACACATGCCAATGGCAATAGTAAGCATATGACGTACCCCTGTACCAATGTACCCCTCTAGGTAAGCCAAGCGATGCATAATGGACAATATCTCTAGCTGTCAATTGAATTCAAACGCAGTGGGCATGCATTAGCCTGCTGACACATGCCAATGGGTATAGTAAGCATTTGATGTACCCCGGTACCAATGTACCCCTGTAGGTAAGCCAAGTGATGCATAATGGACAATATCTCTGGCTATTAATTGAATGCAAACGCAGCGGGCATGCATTAGCCTATTGACAAATTCAGATGGATTCATAAGTATATGATGAAGTGTACAAATGTAACCCTGTACCAATGTACCCTTGTAGGTAAGCCAAGCTATGCATAATGGAGAATATCTCTAGCTGTCAATTGACTCCAAAGACACTGGGCACTCAATAGCCTACTGACACATTCCGATGGGTTTCGTAAGTAATAAGTATATGAAGAAGTGGAGATAGGTAGATCACATTAGCCATATTAGAGCTGTCATCACTTTAAAATGCCCATCAATGGGTTCTGAGAACAAGCAAGACAACTGACTGTTCTAGGCTGATCAGTCGAGTGTAAGCAGCGTATTAGATAGGAAAGGGTTGTCCAAGGGGAGGAGAGTATGGTGGGCTGAGGAGAGGGGCGGGCTATGACTTATTTCATTCTGTGAAGAGGGGGAAAGCGGAGAATCCAACGGGATGACCTAAAAACACTGCCAAGGAAACGCACTGCTATACAGATAATACACCTCTTTCACTGGGCTGATTAATGGAGCTGGATTCTAGATGGCTCCAGACAAGTATTGTGTTATCGCATGCTGTGCTGAATTGATTAAGATGTCGTGGGGAAATACCTGAATGCTCCTGAAAGCTGAAACATTTGAAATGTCAAATGAGCCTACAAAGACTACAAGCAATTGTCAGCATGCAAAATACTATGTTAATAATATAACTATACTGTAATCATTTATAGTATTGGCCATTGATGCCATTGTTATTGTTTTATTTTTATGCAGCGAAAATATTTATCTTCAGTGGGCAGTTGTAGACTTGTGCTGCAGGATTTTTTAAATCAAAATATTGATGGTTACCCTAAAATGATGCCTAATAATGTGCATCTTACACCGAGCCACATGTGTTCAAAGTATACAATGGGAGAAGTAGCTCAGCCTCAGCCAGTGTCTTCTTTTAGTTTTTGATTTGCAGTAACAATATGACAGCTCAGATCAGATTGGAGTAATGAGGACTCCTTTCAAGCTGAATTTCAGACACAAAAACATTTATTTAAAGCAGAACTGTGGCTAAAATTTGTATTAACTCTTGCACCGGGGCTACCTCCACACTGCAAGGGATAAGTGTCGGTTTATGTCTAGGTTCCAAAATTAAAAAGTTATACTCACCCGATCCTTGCAGTTGGCTTGCTCGTAGACCAGTCCCTTTTGCCTCATTCCCCCTCCGCTGCAGTGGTCTAAGGTCCCGGAGTTATCACAGGACTTGTATCAATTTGTATTGGATGTGGGGATGCTGAAGGACATATCATTGCTGCAGCAGAGAAGGAGACAGGCAGGAGGGAGCACTGTCACAGCCAGCTGTTTCGGAGATTTGGGTGAGTATAATTTTGTTATTTTTGAATTCAGACAAAAACAAGCACTTAACCCTTGCAGTGCGTGGGTAGCCCCACTGCATGGGTTAAATAACATTTTACCCGGTGTTCTGCTTTAAAGCTTATCTCTGTGGGAACAAAAAAACCTCCACTTGCAGGAGAAACCGAACTTTCTCATTAGTGAATACTAAATTATTACAATGGGTTCACTTTATTCTTGAGTTAAAGGCTAAGCTTACCTTTCTGACTATGATAGCGTGTAACACGAAACATGGTCAGATCGGAAACCCTCCCACTTACCTGAATCATGGCGTTCTTCTTCCCACAGGCTTGCTCACGTTTTTTAATTCAGCACAGCTACGCGTGCAGCTTCATTATCCAAACACAGACCCTTTGACAGGATCTGTGAGTGGACAAACCACAAGTCTCATCAGCCACTGTGGCATAAGGACTTGTAGCAAAAGGATGTCACCAGCACAGGGGCGTCCCGAGGCTGGGTGACACCCGGAACGGTAACCGAGTGTGACCCCGCCGAGACGTCACTGCGCATGCGCGGTGACGTCATCGCGCACGCGCGACAGTATTCTGTTACCGTCCGGCGGCAATCTTGGTGATGGACGTCGGCAGAGAGAGGGGGGACAGTCACCCGCCGGGATAAGGTATGCCGCCGGGTCCCCTCCTCTCTCCTGATACTGTCGGGCGTTCGGTCCATGACCGAGCGCCCGACTTTTCAGAGGGGGGTGGCACCAAAATGACTGTGAGTCATTTTGGTGTCACCCCTCCAATGGTGTCACCCGGGTGCGGGCCGCACCCCCCTTGTGACGCCACTGCACCAGCACACCATTTAAGTGAGATCAACAAAAGTCCATTTATTAATTTATTCATTCCAGTACAAGCGCTTTCGGGGCCGCACAGGGCCCCCTTCATCCGGCTCAGAATGACTAGGATTTCAAGGAACATCCTATACCGGGAAGGAGTGCAGCAAGACACCTATATAATAATAAGGACTTGTAGTTCTCATTTTCTGCCCCAGTGTTTATCGTCTAATTTGTCTACATCCAAAAACTGTTACATCTCAAAGGTCAGAAGACTTCTAAACGTACCATTATGCTTGAATAGTGGAGAACACGAAATACGGACACTGAGGGGTGTTTTGTATGCTCTCTCAGGATTAGAAATGTATACTTCAGACACTCAGGATTTGGACAGTGGTAACGAATGCATGGAACAATGGAAGATGCTCCCTCCCATTCTGTTTTATTATCCCTTTTAAATCATTCTTCCTAATGTAACTTTGGTTTGCTTGTGCTGTCTTGTTCGGTAAATGTATTCGTATTATCCCACTGTCCCCTGTCACTAAGACACCAACTTAGCATACTGAAACTTTTGGTTTCCCAGCAGTACGTGAGTTGCTTCTGATGAGTCCACACACTGCACCAAACTTGCATGTATACATAAGTATGATTTAGTCTAGGGGTAGGCAAACTTCAACCCTTCAGCAGTGCTACCATCATGAATCTGCCTCTGGGAGTCATGCCTGGCACTGTCAGAGTCTCACAATACCTAACGGGATATGTAGTTTCACCACAGCTGGAGGGCGAAAGTTTGCCTACCTGTGCTTTAGTCCAGCCATAGCTGTAGCTTGCTCCTTTTGCACCCGAGGCGAAAACAGAAAATTGTGTAATGTCACCTGACGCCGTGCACGCGTGGTGTCCTGTGACGTTATGCTCCCTGCCTCGCATAAGAGCATAAAAATTTGTTTCGATTGACGAAACTAATTAAAACTTTTAGTTTCCGTTCATTTCGTCGGAAACTAATTTTTAGACTTTCCACATGTCTAATAATATGTGTGTGGGGGGTGGGGGGACATTTCCCTTTTAAAATAGAAAAAGAAATTGAGGACAGAGTCCTTAATCTCTTTTTCTGCAGCCTCAGCGCTCAATGGATGGAAAGCACTCAGTACAAGATATTTACCAAACCTCCGCTCTGCTATCCCGAGCGCTGAAGCTAGCGGGGGGGGTGGGGGCGAGGAGAGAGTGCTGAAGCCAACAGGATAGCAGTTCGGAGGCAGAGGAGGGTGCTCTGTCACTCCAGGATGGCCGATCGGTGAGTAGAGACAGAGCTGACGGCTGCCAAATCCGAGCAGCTCTCTCTATAGGGGTCTGGTATGGATTTTAAGGGAGGACCCCCTCTTCACATCAGAAACCACCCATCACATCAGGGTCCTGCCCGTTCACATCAGAGTTCCCCTTTCACATGGTAAGCCCTGTTCACATCAGAATCCTAAGTCCCCC